AAAAAAAAAGAAAAAAACTAAAAGAAAAAAAAAAGGAAAAAAAGAAAAAAAAAAAAAAGAAAAAAACTAAAAGAAAAAAAAAAGGAAAAATACATATTTTTAAAAGAGAGCACGGATTAAGACTTAAAAATAATAATAATAAAATAATAATAATTAAGTAGGACAGTCCAAAGTAGACTTAAAGGGAAACAAAGACCCCTGGAAGTTCTGTTCTGTTTAGTTTATAAATATATATATATTTTTATTTGTTCTTTGTTTTGTTTGTTGGTTGTTTTTTTTTTTTTCCTCCTCTCCTGGATATTTATTTCTTTGGTATTTTGAATAGATGTTTTAAATGATATGAACCGGACCTTCAAGAGCCTTAAATAGTTTCTTTGATAATTTATTATCATGTGAACTGTACTCACAGGGGAAAAAATTATTTTGTGAGGCCAAGCAAAACTGCGCAGAGTCTATTTTTCTACATGTCACGCGTGTCCTGACTTTCAGAAAGCAAAATTCTGTACTTTCCCATCTCTCCATTACATTGCTCCTTCATTTCAGCAAGTCTAAAAAACAAGCAAACAAACAAACAAACACACACAAAAAAGACAAACTTCATGGGGGTCCGTAAATTATATTTTTATACACAGAATTGTAAATTAGATTTTTTTGAGAGATCAATACTTAACTGAATCACATTTCGTTTTTTGAAATAGTGTAAAATATGAGAATATATTATTTTAATTTAAATAGTTTCAAATGTAACATCATTTCCTGTATTGTTTTCCATGTTTTGCTTTGTAAAAACATCATTTGGCCACGTTCATGGAAGTTCATGGAAGTCAAGACTGTTACACAAACTTTTTATTTGCAAAAACCGTAAGAAACTTTGTTATTTTTAACTTCAGAAAAAGTTTATTAGAAAATAATATTTTTTAAAAAGCGCACATGGCGGCAATTCTGTGACGATGGAGATGGTAGTTTGTACAGAGGGGGGAAAAGGATGTTTTGCATTAATAAATTGAGAAATAACTGCTGTAAATTTACTAAAATGTATTTTTGAATATTTTGTAATAGTTTTAATAGTTTTATAGAAATAAAATGTGCCATGCACAGTTTGGTTAGTATATAATAACTAAGAGTTCCTGGTGCATCCCATTTTTTTTTTCCTTTTTGCTTATTGGTTTAGGAAACATGATGCCTAAATGAGTGCCCATTATTTTATTTAGATGTGTTGCTTATAACATTTAATTTTGGTACTTTAATTAAGGAAACAAATCCATCACATCTGTGCATAACCTGGAATCTCTTGTACTGACAGTAGAACCTCACTTATTTGCACGGGTGACCGGCAGACGGGTTTCCCTTTGCCAGAGCCCTGGCTCCCCATCCCTGCTCAGGCGATGCTCCTCTCTTCCAGCTCCAGCCCCGACTCCATGTCCACTCCCCAGTCTGGAATGGAGACTGTGGATGGCTCTTAAAATTGATTTCTGAGGGTGCTAAATCGAGTTTTCCCTTTGAGGCGCATTAACGCGGAGGCAGGCAGCTGCCTTCACCTTGTGACAACCCCGGGATTTTGGTGGGCTTCAATTTGGGTGCCCAGAAGATGGAAATTTGAGGGAGAGACATTGACTTTGGTGAGTTAGAGGGATTCATGTGGCTGATGCTGGAAGAAGGAGATGGCCACCAGATTTCACTGGCTGCTTTGAGTAACAGCACTGAGCTTGGGGCCACTGAGAACAGAGCAAAACACCCTTTGCAAAACAAACAAAAGGATAAAGATTTGTTAATTTATCCTGAGAGACGTTCCTTAGTTGTAACGCAGGAATCTGTCCCGAGCCACCCATGGGTGAATGTGCTGGAGACGTGTTTTAGGAGCTGAGTGGTGGGGCCAGTGCTGCATCCCCTGCCTGGTCTCAGCCCCAACCCATCCCAAGGGGATCATCCTTGACATGTGCTGATCAGTGAGGTTCTGCTGCACCATGTGCTCTTCCATGGAGAGTTTCCAGGATCCCTTTAAAAATTTTGCAAAACATTGGGTGTGCATGTGTGTGCGCGTCTGCGACGGGACCGTGCCGGAAGGGAGCTTGCCTTGAATGTCTTCTCACCTTTTCTTTGGTTTCCATTACTCACCACTCTAGGATGTTCATCCACCAGGCCTTTTGCTCCAGAGACACAGCCATGTTCTCTGCTGGGATGGATGGCAGCTCCACAGCCTCCCAGAATGTCCCTGCCTGGGGCCATCTCCAGAGAGTGTCGACCATGCTCTTCCGCGCCAAAATCCCAGGAGCTTCTGGAGCGCTGTCAGGAGCTGGTGGCCGAGTTCCATGCACGAGCACTGCTGTGTGAAGCCCCGACAGATGGATGTGGTTTCTTCTTCCTGTCAAGCTCTAGTCCAGCCCCACTTCCAACCTCCAAAGCCTGGACAGGGTGGTGAGACTTTGGAGTGACCACAGTGTCCTGCAGCGCCTGGAGGGGAACCAAGCCACCCTCATGCTGACCCAACGAGAGGCATCACGGGGGACTGTGGACTGCCTGGTGGGTGCTGAGGACCCACTGCACACCCCAGCTTGGACTCTGCCACCTCCCTGTTTTTGGGGTGTGCTGAGGGCTGCAAACCCAGATGATTTGGGGCATGTGAGAATGTGATTGTGGAACAAATTAATCTCTGCTGTAAGAGTCTGGCCCCTTAGATTGGCAGCATCTGGGTGCCTGAGCTCTCTTACGCTGTCTCTGAGAGGTGGTTTCCATTTTTAAAGGCCTCTACACTCAAAGAAATGACCGTGTTGGAAGCTGCCTTCTCCAGAGGTCCGGTGGTGGAGATGTTTAGGGATGTCAATGATCAAACTTAAAGCCACTGGCTGGAGGGCTTCAATCTAAATTGCAACTGAGATGTTAAAGAGCCATCAGATCAGAGCCCACACTTGTGTCAGGGCAGGGCACATGCCTGGATGGGACCACACCAGACATTGCTTCATTTAATTTTCACCCAAAGGCCGAGACAAGCTCAGAGCTTTGTGGTGTGAGAGAAGCTTAGATGCTCTTACACCAGGATCAGCCTGTTTCACTGAGCAGAGAAATGCTGTGCCATGTTGTCCCTCACACTTATTCCAAGCAGCTTTACATCTTCCTCTCACCGTGTCTGAATTCCACTCTCCCTCTGGTGCCTCTCATCAGGATGACCCCTCCATGGTGTGTTAGAAGAGCTTCCTTAGATGGCCCAATCCAACTCATAGCCACAGCTCTGGTATGAAGGATGTACTGTCATAACCTTGTGCAAAACATCTAGGAGATGTCACTGTCCATTTTCAGGGTCCGAGTATGGCAATAGTTTGTATAAAATGTACACATAGTGGTGGCTACAGAATAGTTTATGACTCAATACATATCTATACTGTCAAAATAATGTATAAGAATGTACTTGAAGCTATTATCCTTGTGCTCTGTTGTCTGAATAATTAAAGAAATTACAGAGACTTCCTGAAATGTCTGATATGTGATGGCATTCCTATTGCACGCTCTCTGAGGATTTCACCCTGATGACATTGAAACCCAGAGTGGGGATCCTGTGGGATTTGGAATTGGACTATTCAAACCCACCAGGAATTGTGCTGGCGTGGCTTCATGTGGTGGCCACAACCTTCTTCTCCTCCCACCTAGAGCCATGTAGACAGTCTGTCATTTACCTGTGAAATATTGCGTGGCTCTGCGAAGCCAACTCATTTGGAAGGTTTCTGTGGGGCCCCAGAGGTGCCCTGAAGGGCAGCCCACCAGCATCTGCCTGTCCTCTCCACCTCCTCCACCCAAACCAATGTGAGAAATTACCCTAATGAGACTGGGACGAGTTTGTGTTTACCTGACCAATAGTTCAAGCAGTGCCCTGGTGCTCAGACACCAGGTAAACCCTCCAAAATGAAGCTCGAATGCACCAGTAAAAGAGGATTCACATCCACAGTGCAGCTAAAATCCAAGCCAAGCACTGGGGTAAAGCAGGTGTTTCCCAGCCAGGCAGCTGTGCTGTGCCTCAGCCAGCAGCCCCTTGTGCCCTCACATGGGAAAGTTTGCCTAGCTGGATCTTTGGACAGATATGTACATATATGTACACATATATAATATTATTATCCTGATATTAGGAGCTCAGCACATCCCACCAGGATATAAATATATTTACAATGGCCCTCCTGAGCATTTCACACCATGCTGAGGCTGAGCAGGAGATGTAAATCAGCCCAGCTGGGCGATAATTGGGCAGCAGTTTTGCAGCCCCAGTACAGCATCTATTTCAATTACAGGGGGAAGGAAACCAGAAAGAGCATTTTATCTTACTCATTACTGCAAACCATAAGGGACCACTAGATTTCTTAAGCTTTTGAAATTCTCTGTTCAGCAGTTTCTGCCTTAAAACTAGTTCAAACTTAACTGAAAAAAAGGTCAATTTTCTGTGTACAGAGCCCTTCAGAGCTTTCAAAGGAGCAGTGTTAATGTGAACCTTGGCCTACACGGGCTAAAAGGGAAAAAAACCCATCTTTTATAAAAGGCATCTTTACAAGATATCGGATTGTCTCAGATTTGATAGGGGCCCCACAGCCACTGTTTGGGCCAAGATTGTTAAACGTAATTTTAATGCTTTGCATTTGGGATGCTTAGACTTATGTATTTAAATAATTTTGGTTTTCAGGGATGAAAAGGAGTGAATAAATCCAGGAAATATGAGTTTAATGATCTTGTTCTGGTTCCAGTGAAATCGAGAATGGCATTCAGAGGTGATTTGGGTGCACAGGCAATTCTGCACCTTAAAGTGGGTGCAGAACCCTATATAACTTCTTTTCCTTTTATTTTAAGTGAGAGCCAGACATCTATTTGGGCAAATGCTACCGCAAATTAGGAATGAAACCACAAGGTTAGGAAATCTATTTGGGGCAAAAATATTTGTTTTGATGTCCTGTGACCTAAATGTGAAATAAATATTAGA